TGTAGACGCTCGCCAGGAGGAATCCCTCCCGCCATTGCTGGTTTTTAAACCAACTCGTCGGAAGGGATTCCTTCCTGCGAGCTGGTACACAATCCAGCTCGCCAGGAGGAACCCCTCCCGACAAGCTGGTACACAGACCAGCTTGTTGGGAGGAGCCCCTCCCAACGAGCTGGTTTAGAAACCAGCTTGCTGGGAGGGATTCCTCCCGGGGGTGTGGCCTCTTGGCACCGGGTATCCCTTGGGATACCCGGATACCCGCCAGTATTTCAGGGGGAAAGGTGCATCCGCACCCGAATCCGCACCCGCTGGCGGGTATCCGCTGACCCTGGCGGGTATCCGCCAGCGGATATCCATTGACCATCTCTAATGAAGTTTACCACTGTGTCAAAAAATTGCAGTTGAAAAATAAAGCAGAAAACAGGGAAAAGATCATGATGTTATATCTGACCGTTGAAAGTTCTCCTTTTGATGCTTGTAGACCACACTGCCTCCGTGGCAACTGTTAGTTCAACTTGGACGGGCCGGACCTGACTTATCTGTGTTGCCAGGGCAGGTCTTCCTCAGATTTTGACCTGTTGTGGCTTCGGGCTCGGGTTTTGGACCCTGGCCCGACCCGGCTTCATCGGGTGATCAAGCTCAGGGTCACTGCAGATTTCGAAGCTACACGAAAATTACAACCTCATCATCCAGAAAGAACACGAAAACAATGGGACCATGTCGAAGTAATTCCTCGAATTCGACACGAGCGAAGCCGGTAAACCTACATGATGGTCAAGAAGCAGACGAGGAAGAAGAAGATTTCATGTCGGATAAGTTCCTCAAACAAATCACAGAAACATCGACAGAAAACAAGACATATTCAGAAAAGCGTAAACGAAGATTGATAGACGCCTCGACAAACCATCAAAAAAGATCCAGAGTTCAGCGAGAGATCGAGGCCCGAGAAGAAGGTTTAAGTCGAAATTTGATCCAAGCAAATGTCGTCCAAGAGGAAAAGGCCCCACCAGAATCGCATAGCAAGGCGTTCCAGATGATGTTAAAGATGGGATTTCAACCGGGTAATTCGCTTGGCGCATCGGCCTCTAATGGATCGAATGAGCCTATCAATATCGTCCCCAGGTCCGGCCGGGCCGGGATCGGAATCGCGCCCAAACCGGTATCGGCAGCCAAGCTTCCTCGTCTCCTTTTTAGCGTCAAAGGAAAAATGGACCTTACTGAAGAAGAAACAGCGCAACGGGAGGCCTTCTTAGCAACTTCTCGCACCCGGTTTGATGGCCGAAAAGTGGACGCGATCCTCGGAAGGGCTTGTAGGACTTGCGAGGAACTCGATCGTCGTCGCGGATTAGAGTCGAATATCTTCTGGATCATTAAGCCTTCTCCTCAAGACGAATCAAGAGAAGATGCTCATCTCACTCGGCTCGACAGATTGGTCTCGCTCGATTGTCAGAATGATCCCGATAATATCCTCGAGGATCTAGAAGACGAAGAGAAACAGAATTGGTTGGCTTTGGATCCATCAACCAGACTATCTTGTACACTGGGATATTTACGGGAAGAATATTTGTAAGTAAAGTTTTGTGTACTAGAGTATCCTTCCGAATCATGATGCTTACCATTCACACTTCTTTTTTTGTATCTGTATTGATGGTTGAATTTAGTTACTGTATCTGGTGTGGATGTCAGTATGAGTCATTAGAAGAACTGAACAAGGAATGTCCTGGGGAGGAAGAAGATGACCATTGAGTTTTCCCCTAATATCTCAAATTCCATTCCACAGCACACAATTTATTCTTATCTATAGATTGTACTTCTTATTTTGTCAAAAAAAAAAAATCTGGTTCCAAATGTTGTAAGAATCAGGCTGTCTTTATTCAGAAGCAATTGAGATGTAATGGTTTCCATTCAATGAATTTGATCAAAGGGAAATGATTTGAGCTGTGGTTGATGGACCTGAACTGATTTGAGGCCTTGGGTGGCTCCTAAGTGCCAAGAAACCAATTTCTTCATATCCTGACTAGAAAGATACGCAGAGAAGTTTACCCAATCCCACTTTTTGAATTTATCTTGTCCAGTTTTGTGGAGTTCCAACCTCCCTTGAATTCCCCACATCCCCATGTCTTATCCGATGTATTCCTACCATCTACTTCATAATCTTGGTCATCAGAAAGTCGGTCTACTGATTTGTAGAGCTTTCTCATCTATGATTCCATTCTGGGTTTGATTGATCTTAATGGGACATCTCTCAGCCTGTTTGCCATTTTTTATTCACCAAGGGATGGATTATTATTGAGGATGTATAATATGAGATAGTTCTTATATAGATAGAGTATAGGGATTATTTTGCTGTCTTAGAAATTTGTCTCAGTGTTAATTTTTAATGAGGGCTTGTGATCAAGAGTTGGCGAGGCAGTGCGAAATCTATAATTAGAACTGTTCAAGAGGTCATACAAGAATAAAACATGAAGAACATGTTTTTGGAGCAACTGATTGATATGATTTTTGTATTGTTCAAGATGATAGAGAAGTTTGCATCTGTCTATGAGCCAGTTGTCCTTTTTGGAGATACAAGAAATGGAAATAGAGATGAAGAAATGACCAGGATGATGTTGAACTGTTCAAATTTTTGAAGTGGGGGTGGGATGCGCCTCAGAGTCTGAAATCAACTGAGACAAGCGATCGATGCTATTGATGATCCATTCGGCGCCTGTATCTGAGGTTAACCATTGAGTACCTTGGCCCAGTGAAGGTTCGCCGACTTGTTGGAGCTCTTCGCCAGCTTTCTTGAGACCGTAGACATGAGAGAGTAATTGAGGGCCGAGATTACCAGCGGCTCGAAGGGTGCCTACGGCGATCAGACTAGTGCCGATCCTGCCAATCGGTCCTGGGTCGCTCGCAGGATCAGAGAGTAAGGGGCCGTAATGTGAATGTAAGATGTGGACCGGTAAGTCGGGATGGGCGGCCGAGAGTTTGGAGATTAACTTGTCATCTAATGGTCTATAGATTGATTTCCAAGTTCCTAATGCTCGCTGAGATATCTTCTCGATCGAGTTCTCATTCAGATCGGGTATTCTTCTGGGCTTTTGTTGATCTAGTTGTGGGAGTAGATCTGAGTTAGATTTTTCTAACACTGCTCTGAATGTGTTCAAGGCATTGATCGATTTGGCTATGCCGATAAACGAAATCGACTTCAATGCAGTCTCCCTGACCAGGCTTGCATTATAAACTGATGCCTTCTCGTTACTACTGGTTGTTGACTTCAATGATGCCCAGAATGGTTCGAATGCGCTCGGTCGATTGAGAGAGACGAGGGCTGCAGTCTGGATGTGAATGAAAGAGAAGAAACAGTCAGAACTGGTATGGATTTAAGCTGATTCAGGGGAAGAAGAAGCCGATGGAGATGATACCCAACTGAAAAAATCGTCCAACTGTCTGAGGTGAGTTTCTTTTCGGAAGCCGTTTGATGGAAATCGGCGAGTAGTCGCTTCAATTGATGATGGAATGCCGAGGATTGAAGGCTGGGTGGATGAGCATTGGTGTTGAGGAGTTGCTTCAGAGCAGGTGAGATTTTTGTTGCCGTCATGTTGCTATTCAAGTCCTAAAGAATATCGATTGCTTGTGCAAGGCGGACGGAAGAAACGGAGTAGATGTTGACATCAGTCCCCCGGGTAGCTCTGGCGCGGGGCGGGGGGGACTCAAAACTTAGGCAAGAGCAGAAAGTCCACTTTGGAACTTCAACTTTACTCAGCTTCAACCCTTGGATCTTATAATCTGCAGATCCTTTTCTGCTGAGCACACCTTGCTGGCATAGCGGTATAGGTGACCTGCTTCAAGAGCCCATTGTGTTTCAAAACAAGATTCCCTGCAAGTACGAGTTCAACCCCTTGTCTCAACACACCCTGGTGTCACCATGCACAACAAGCACTTGGGCTATGTGGCCCTTCTGTGTGCTCCACTGGCAAATGTAGTGTTTTCTGTTGGCCTCCTCTGCAATTATTGCAATTTGAGAAATCTCCATCTGACTCCCACAATCACTGAGGCACCTTGTGGTGAGCTTCGAGGAATAATCAATTCCTGTAAGGAAACTGTTGAAGTGAATCGGTTTGTATGCAGAACAAAAACATGTGGCATGGCTGTGTTGAACTCCCACAATGTGTGTGGCAATCCAGATCAAACCGAGCAACATGTTATACTTCCACAATACTACAAGCCCCTGAACTGTGATCAGTGTGGCACTGGTGGCAGTTTACATTGGACAGGTGTAACCGCATCTTACGGCTGTGGTACGTTTCGGCACCAGTCGGCATGTAACAATCCCAACTACTGCAGTGCAAATGTTATGGTCCGGCAATACAAGTGTGAAGCTGTAGGCAGAGATGGATTATGTCCCAGGGCTGCATTGGTCCCCATTGGGTCATGTGATCATGAAGTCCAACGAAAGAAACACACACCTGCAACATACTATTACACACCATAGGGCCAAGTGGCCAAACACTGTGCACTGTAGCTTGTGCATTCAAAAGGGGTACCAGCATGCATGACAAACATGCCCCCACACTGTAATATGTTTTTCTTGATGTCTTTCACAATCAAAGTGATCTCAGGATTGCTTGATCGTTTTCTGTGATACAGATTCAAATCACAGGTTTCCCATTCAACTGAAGTGCTCTTCCCATCCAATCATCCAATTTACTTTCCTGAAATGATAGCAGGCAAAGAGCAGCTTCAGATATCTCTACAATAATGGGGAATTTACAATGAGTAATGCCAAACTCAAATCTCAAACTGACAAATGAGCTGTGAATCACATATCAAAAAATGGAAAGGGAATGTGAATTGCCATATATCAGATGTCATCAGCAAATTGAATTTTCTTTATTTTTTATGTTTATCTCCATTGAGACCTACCTAAATAGTTTTTTTCCCAATTGTGTAATTACATCTGCAGCTTTTGTAAAAACAAAACATTCTTGATTTTCACCAAAACCTATTTGATGTGAAGAACACACATGAAAACATATGATCTAGTCACATAATACAGTTTCTTGGGGGTGAGTTGTTGTGTAAAGCTAAGAGTGATTTTTTAAACAGTTGACAGAGTAAGAGAAATGGTATGCAAAGCATGAACAAGATATTCATAAAGGGCCTTAGCTAATCAACTCCAACTTGGGAGGATTGATTCCCAAATGTGGGAGTCGTTGGGAGGACCACTTGGGGACAGTCCCAGGACGTCCCCAGCCCCAAAAACCCGGTTCCCCCTAAGCTGTGGGAGTTGCTCCTCCCATTCCTGAAGTAGGAATGGGAGTCAATTCTCTCATTCAAATAATCAAAAATAAATCAATTGATGACCGGAAGGGATTCCTTCCGGTCATCAAGACCATTGTTGTTTCTCCTTGACCGTCCCACCGGCGTTCAAAAAGATAACACATTTCTTGCGGAACAGATCAGAGCCATCACCGCCCTCACCAGCTTCGTTACACATCATCTCGTCTTGGAGCTGGAGCACGCTACTCAGCTATAAATTAACAGCGCCGTAAAGAAGTTTTGTGTTTATCACCTCATTGGCTTGAATGGAATCCTTCTGGTCGATGAGGTATAACAACCCCATTGACCGGAAGGAAGTCCTTCCGATCAATGAGGTGGAACAGCATCATCGACTGGAAGGAATTCCTTTTGGTCAATGAATCCCACAGACTCCTCCACAACCGCAGGTACACGGGTACCCTCCCTGGCAGACCTGGCGGGTGCAGGTGTCTAAAAAATGGGATTTTTGAGGCGGGTACCCGGGTACCAAGTGACATCTCTATTTTCTGCCACAAGCTGGTAGACTTAGAGCATATCCACTGGGGGAGGTAAACCGGGTTTGTATCCCACGTCTAGCAACCCAAACCCAAAAAACACCACCCACCCGGGGTGCTAAGCTCATAAAGGTATTACCTCTGGAGGTAAAGTTTCATGTTGAGTTGCTACATTTAGCAGCCCTATAGGTGAAATCTCACATCTCCATGACATGGACAGTGTTTCCCTTGTGATCTCTTCATGAAACTAGCAAACCTTTTCTCTTCTTCCCTGGTTCATCTCCTTTCTCCTTCCTGGTTTGTCCCCATATATATACCTATTTCACATCACAATACATATCCCTTTTTTGCACTACAACTTCAGCAAGGTAAAAGATTTTGTGTCTGCTTTCCTGAAATTGGACATGGCCAAGATAAATAGGATCTGTTTCACCTTGCCTGTGTCTGATTGCATGCAATCTGACACCAGCAAGGTGAAGCTGTTGTGTCCGATTTCCTGCAATCAGACACGGCCAAGATAACAATTATGTCCTTCACCTTGCCTGTGTCCGATTGCATGCAATTGGAGGCCAGCAAGGTGAAGCTGTTTTGATGTGCTTCAGATTCAAATGTGATCATGTAGCAACCACGGGTGGGCAGAAAACCCGGGGGGGTTGCCACATGTAAATTTTGAGTTGCTACAGGGGGGTTGTAGCAACCCGGTTTTACCTTCCACAGTGGATATGCTCTTAGCCTTCTCTGAGGGCTCTTAGACCATTTTTTTCTTTGAGATTTTTCCTCAAGGTTCCTTTTTTTTCTCCTGGTCATTTCCCCCTTTTCCTTGGCAAAAATCCTGAGTTTCATCAAAAGGTTTCCATTGTTTCTGTCAAGGGACTGCACACTGTGGATTCAGGTGCAGGTGTGGTGGTAAAGCAATGTCAATTAGTAAAATGGGAACAGTTGCAATGGACAAGAGATTTGAGGTAGGCTTTATTTTGAATGTGGATGTTGTTGACTAAGATTCTTTAATTTCAGGTGGGAGTGTATGTAGAGGTTTGCTGGGACAGAAAAGAGAAGAAGTAGAATGTTTAGAATCAGCACAAAGAAGGCCAGAGCAGATTTGTTAAATAATCCAAATACTGGGCCTGGAAAATTGACCCAGAAAAGACTATTTTGGCCGGATTAGACACATGGGTAACAAAGTCTGCAAAAGAGCTGATTTTGAGAATGTAATTTTGGAGGCCAGTGGTGATGGGGATTGGACCAGATTCAGATAAATGAGTGTGGTGTAGAGGAAAAAGTTTGCTCAGTCAGTAATAAGACGTAGTTTCCTTAGTTGGTAATTTGGGACCAGAAGAGGAAAGTTGGGAAAGAGGGCTTAGAGGTCAATGATATTCAGGATGTATGTGGATAGAGTTTCTGGTAGAGGACATGGGAGTAATCCAATTATGAAAATGAACCTGGTTATCAAATATGAGGGCATGCTAAATCCAAGTAGGAGCAGAGATGATTTTGAAGTTATTGAAAGGTATAGAAGGAGGGGGGGGGGCAAGCCAAAGGTTTGGAGTTTGTGTCCAAATAATTGGGTTAGAATAGAGCATTGGTGGTGGGTTTTGGGACATGTAGACATATGACACCAGGAAAAATATATGCTCACTAGATGTCAATATGCTCACTAGATGTCAAGTGAAATCATGTAACATTGATTGCTGCTTCCATGTAGATCTAACTCTCTTGTGACCCAACTACAATGTCCCCTTGGTGTGCTACAGGGGGCTTAGTACACTGAAGTTAGCTTGATGTCACTTGTCATCAAGTGGTCATTGATTTTTCCTGGCATGAGTTACTTGTTGATAGGCAAAGAACATGTTAAGGTTTGGGACAGAGAAGGGGTGGCAAAGGCTTCAAAAATTGGAATATTTGGAATAATAAGATACAAGGGGGGAATGTTTCCCAAAATTAGTCATACTCATAGGCAACAAAATTATCTGTTTTGAATAATTCTACTTCTGGTCACTTTTTTGAGGCTATTCAATCTTCTTACAAGCTAGTGAAATAAAGGAGTAAAAAGCAAATGTAGTCACAGAAAAAACATAGCAGTAATGAGCAGAAGTAGAAATCATGCATAGATTGGACAACTGTCAACACATGTTCTTAATTTCTCAACAGAAGACCACACTTTTATTGACATACTTCCATCACCAAACCCTCAGTCTTGAATGGCGACACCCAACCATGGGTTCAAATGGAGGTTGCTTTTAATTTTCATCTTTACAATCTTAACATTAGAGTTGAGTTGGCAGGTCAATGTGGTAAAAGAAGGGACTCAAGGCAAGTTCTTTTTTTCTTCTTTCTGGGAATTTGAGAGGGTGTTTTTATTGTGGAGATTCCTGTGTTCACAAGTCATCTATAGCTACTCACCATCAATTCAGAGGGGAAAAAAAGCTCCACTACCCTGGTAGTTTTGGGTTTTGGGGTTTGGGGTGACCTTGACCCAGCTTGCAAACATCCAGCACCCATAAGTTTGAACAAAAAAGAGCCCCAAAGTCTCGGGGGTAAATTTCTTTTCAGCACTTTTGCTGGAAGAACTTGCTGCTTAAAATTAAAACCTCGACTCCCCAGCTGGGCTCTCGATTGGATGCTAGAAATCAGCATGGGAAAACACCAATATAGCACATGCCATGATCCGATCCAACATTCCTCTGGATCCTACCGGATGTGCAGATAAGATAATGAACTATATGGTATGAGGTGGAACCATCAACCACCAAAGTTAATCAGGTTAAACCCAAACACTCACATTTTGGAAGATACTGATCATGGATACAGGACTGCATGATTTCTTTCTCCGCGATAATACTGAGGCCTATTTTAATCAAAATATTAGCTGTTTTAATGCACAAATCTTCGCGGGAACCCTGATACTGCGTTTAGTTGAGCTCGCCGGTGATTGAGCTCATATGCATGAACACTGAGTAATAGTAGATACTGGGGTATCGCGGATAAGCCGGTGTGACCGGCCATCTGTAAGTCCCGCTGCCGGATCAGCACGGGAGTCTCAAGTATGCAGACGACGTAGACCCAATGACCCATGCCCATACTCACTGAAACAGATAAGTACAGATTGATGATGAATCTCTAGTTAGATCCCCGCCCTAATCCTTCCCAATTTTATTACACTGGTATCATCCTGGTCACAGTGCCAGACGACATCTCTGATGGCCCATCTGAGTCAAGCTTTGATCCTATTTTTTGGAATGTTGAAGAACATGAAGCCTTCAAGTTCCAGTTTGCTCTGGTCACATCTGCTTCTGCTCTTAATTGACCCGGCAATCTCACAGATACCAACATGTTCAACTCCCAAGTTGCAAACAACTCCCAAGTTGAGAAAAATTGAGTGTTTTGGCGGTTTCAGATGCCCCGATCTAAACGAAGTCGCAACGGAGGAATCTCTAGAGGAAAATAACTGCTACCTTACACGAACTATCAAAACAGAGTCGTCAGAATCGAACTTGAACCCAAAGAGCAATCAAGTTGGGCTTGTGTCTGATGACTTGGCTCATAATCCCATTTACCTTTTTCAGGATCGATCGAATCCGCGCAAGCGCAGAGGAACGGATTTAGCTCTTGAAGAATACGAAATCAAACCTTTCTCATCAAAGACAGCAAAGCTTCTGGCACAACGGCAAGATAAATCAGCTTACGTTTTCAAACTAGGAAAAAAAGAGGAGCCTTTTTCCAAAATTAAACAAGAATCAAACACGTTTGAACAAAAAGTACAAAAGGTTGAAGATTATCACCCAGATGATTTTTTTGATGTTTACAATTGGGATTATGTGAGAGAGTTCCCAGAAAAAGAAACAACATGTGCTGAAGGAGACAAGCCAAAATATACACTCCAAAAGCTTGTGGATGACCTAAACAAATGTAAACCATTGAGTCAACGCGATCATTTCTTCTGGATCCCAAGGAAAGATGCCACGCGTATTCTAAGGAAGTACAACAAAACAGGGTTATGTTTGCCCAATAGATTTTCAAAGAGCAGTAAAAGAAATTCCATTGCAAAAATAGTATTGAGGCTCTCAGATAAAAGGTTAGCAATTGAGGAATACCCTACTCTTTCAGAAGGAATATTAAAGCCTTTGGAGTTGAGTGTCAAAGCCAAAATGGACAAGTTGCAACACGAAAAAGGAAGCTATTATTCAGAAAAATCAGCATCCCAGAAAATCCAATCCATCATTGAATATGTGAAGAAAGTCACCAAAGTGGTCCCATTCTTAATCATAACTTACCTTTCACTTTTCAAGGAGCACAACGAAAGAATCATAGACCCAAATCTAGTTGGAAATCTTCTGAATTTCCTCAAAGAGATCTGGAAAAGCATTCTGGAATCTGATCCAACCCTTCTAGGGAAACATTCTTGGGCAAGAATCAACTCAGATTTGTTTCAACTGAGGGACTTGAGTGATCAAAGTAAGGCACACCTTAAATATTGGAAAAGTAATTCATCATCTTGCAATACTATGGCCTGGAAGATTGTTAGGTATTGGATGGAAATAAATGGCAAATCCATCAATGCAGGTTCTCCAAACTCCAAAGATTTTGATCTAATGGTGATCCAGATAATACACAAGATAATATTCTATGCAAATTATGCAACTATACTTCCAAATCTGGTGCCTTTGTCACCTAAGAAAAACTGTATTTGAGGATTTTTTCAATCCATATTAAACTTGGTGCTTCATTTCATACTCAATACAGATCCATGTTTTCTTTTTTCTAGTGAGGGGGCTTGAGTTTTCTTTATGATTTTAAACACAACTAAAAGCTCATTTATTCTCAATCTGTCTTGATTGCTTATGTTCAATATTATTTCTGATATGTTTGAGATCTGTCAAATTGTTGTTTGGTACTATTTTAATACATACAGGGTTTGATTACACAGCTCAAGAAGAAAAAATGTAGTCAATCAGGTTGAAGTAGTGAATGGGAAAAACAAAAAAAATATCAAGATCTAAATTTTCAGTGGATGCAATAATCCAAACTATGTAGACCAGTACATCATGCAAGAATTTTAGGGAGGTCAAATACACAACTAAGCCTGACCTATCTAGTCCATGCATTGGTCAAACAAATGTTGCCAGATTTACAGTGTCCAGGTTGAAGCCATAACTTCTGACAACCAGCAGCAAGTAATCAGACAGGCCCTTTCCAATCAAGCCTACCTCCAGGTGAGTCTTGGCTGCTGAGTTGATTGGATAAACTCTCTAAGGAGCTGGTGGACCAGCTTATCCAACAAATCCAAGCTCATATCCCTGAGAATGCTTAGACTTGAAAGCGCAGCAACTTTCTTCTCTGGTTTTGGATGTAATACCCTCCGTCATACTTTTCCTAGAGTGATACTCTATGAATCACTTGCAAACTATTAGTCCGGGATGTCCAAGAGGGCCTATTTTGATAATTTAACAAAGCTAGGATTTGGAAGAAACTGGCAGTAGTCCATTGAATCTCTGACATTTGTAGGATTCACTTCGGGTATCCCCAGGGCGAAATGTTGCCAGATTTAATGAGCATGCATAGTGGCACTTGGAGTATTGCCTCCTCAAGGAATGTTTCACAATCGAAGGGTTTATGGTTAGGGTGGTAAGAACTCAAGGGGCACTAAGATATGAATTGCAAACCACAAAAGAATTGTGAATTCAACGGTCAGTTTGACCGGACCAAAGAACTATGTACATCCTATATGAAGGGCTAGGCCGCAGCGGAGTTGACAGGTGCTGGGATCGGCGCGCCGTTGGTGGCTTCTTCACCCTCTTTTTTCGCCTCAGCGACGGCGATCTTGACGTGTAATGCTCGGCCGTCCAACTCCTTCCCTTGAATTTCCTCCAAGGCCTTCAGTTGGTTCTCCTCATTCACAAATTCTACAAACCCGAACCCTTTGGATTTGCCAACACTCGATCCATATCTTCGACAGACCACATGAGCTGAGGCGACTTGGTAACTCGAAAAAAATTCTTTTAGTTTTTCGTCGGTCACATCGAATGGTAGATTTGCCACAAACAAGAGCCTAGAATGTGAGAAAAAACGATGCTCAGTTCAAGTCCATAGATAGGAGGAGGCAGTGGAATATAAAGTGATCGGTTCAACAAACGTTTGGCTAGGTTCGCCTTCTGGTGGGCCCTTTTTCTTTGGGCGCCTTTCGCGTTTGGCGCCATCGACAGATCCGGGCGCTCCAGCGCCTTTCCCTCGCCGAGTGCGAGTACGGGTTGAACGGGGTTTGCCAGGTTGATCTTCCCCATTATGAGTGGAAGCATCGGTCACGGCACCATGATCATCACCGTTGGCCTCAGGCTTGGATTCACCAGCGGGACGGCGAGCACGGCTTCGCTTACTTCGACCGCGCCCAGCCCCACTTCTGCTGCGTCGGGCCTATAACACATTGCTTAGTAAGAGAGAGCTGATATATATGTCATAAAAAACAAAGAAGGCCTCACCTTGGAACCAGTGGGTGAAGGATGGTCCGTATCGTGGTCCTCATCACTAGTTTTCGCATCGCCATTAGTTTGACGGGCTTTGGACGCCTTGGCAGCTCTGGCAGCCGCGCGGGGTACTGCGCCACCAGGTGTGCCCTACACACACCATTATCAAGGAAGATCAGTAAGCTATAGATTATCATTGTGATTAATGAGAATAACGCTGTGAGCTTACAGGAGCAGGCTTCGCTATTTCGACGTTGATGGCTCGTCCGTCGATTTCGGTTTTGTCCGTCGCAGCGACAGCTTTTTCGGCCTCCTCACAAGTGGCAAAGGTTACAAAGCCGTATCCCAAGGAGCGCGTACCGCGGTAAATGATCTGGACGTCGGAGCTAGTGGACAAGTCAAACAAGAAATCCAGCACAGTACACGGGCGAGTGAAAGACTATCAGTGACATCATGCAAAAAATATCATAAAGAAAGATTTAACTCACATTTGACCATGCGTTTGAAAGACATCGCGGAGTTGTTCGTCTTTGGTTGCAAAGCTGAGATTTCCGACAAAAACCTAGATCGAGCCGCGGAAAAAAAGAAGAATTTTAGTTAGTTAAATCGGCGAAACTGTACTGGTGGGCGATTTTTTGGGGGTAGTCACTAGTCAGGGAAAATAATGCCACAGCTGCATGTGAGGTCAAAAGGTTGATTGTAGAAGTGAACCAATCGGTGGACATATCGGATGAGGCAACAGATAATTTCGCAAGCTGTATGATATTCTAGCCCGATTTCATGATCATCTCACCTTTCTGCCTAACTCTTGGATAGTGGTAGCCTCCAGCGCATCAGTGATAGCAGCGACACCATCGGTGCCGTTAGCAGTGGCAGCGTCAGTAGCCATTTTTTTCGGGTCGTTTGGCTTAGTGGGTTGGTTCTTCTGCTATTTTCTTTTCTTCTAATTGGGGAGGGAATAGACCTGAGCGAATAGGACTTTTAGGTATTAGCGCTCAGAGAGAGGATGGAGGGGCAGAGACTCTGCCCAAGTGGAAGCTCGTCCCACACCACGCAAATGACTCACCAATGAAATCGGGTGGTTCGAGAGCAAGTATAAGACCGACAGGATAAGCAGGAATAAGTTCAATCGGTTTTTTAAGGAGCAGACCGAAGGTGGGCACTGGGAGGGAGCAGCGATCGATAACAGGTGGGATCAAGGGAACATGAGCTGTTGACCATTCAGCCAGAGTCAATCAGTTCAACCGAACGATGACCAACCAGATCGGGGCCCGAGCCACCCCAGCCTCACAAAGGGTCGAGAACTGTCGGGCGCGCACAGCAGCGAGCTCAGACTGGCTGCGGATAGGATGTGGTTTCAAACATGCTTGAAATGCAGTCCAAGACGACCACCACTGGGTTCATGATTATAAGCTTCATGATCAATTCTGAACTTAACCTTGCAATAAACGCAATGAAAAATACACACATATGATGAGCTCCAACGACTACTGTTCACTTATCTTAGTTTTTTCTTGTTTCTATTAGACTGTTTCTTGAATTGAACTTGGCCCTTGCATGTTACCAATTTACCTCCTGGAATGTGCTAGTTCGGCAAATCTTTCTACTACTGACCTTGTTCCACAAATCCTTCTTCCCTGAAGCCCAATTCCAGTGTCATGATTTGACTTGCCTTTATGATTCTTTGATCTATCCCCAACCTCTTATGGAAAATCACTCAGTATTTTTACAACTACTCTAGCCATGCTTTATAAATTATAGTTATCATATGATATATCCCCTTGTCAACAAACTATAAATTTTTTGGCTCTTTTATTTTTCCCAAAAAATATTTAATCCCAAAGTGACTGTCATCACTCTCAATGCTGAGTGGATTTTCCTGCAGATTCATGGGAATGAACACATGAACAATCACTTGGTGGCCAAAAAGTTCTTTCTCACTTGAATAAGATAGAATTTATCCCCAAGATTTACACAAAAAAATTAAAATAATTTTGGTGTATTCAAAGGCAGTGGTTCTCTCTTGTTCTCTGAAATTACACATCAGTATTGGTGCCCAATGCCTAGTGTCTGCTTAAGCACCATCACTCACAATATTTCAAGAAAAAACTCACCTAAGCGGTGTGGTATATGACACCCCACCAATTTACTACATGGTTAGATAGGTGGCTCAAAAGACATTCTGTTTCTGGCCTTAAGTGGAAAAGCCAACTGTGCAGTGTTTTTCAAATTACTTTGGATCTTTTAATCAAAAATTGAACAGAATTACCAATATGTGCACACAAATTCAAAACTGGATTCATCGTGATGGATTGATTAAGATTCCTGGATCTGTTTTGTACCAGATTGTGCCATTCTAGATTTGCAATTCAATCAAGTTTCTTCACTTAGATACTGGAGGACTCCCCGTCAATTTTACAGCCCTCTGTAAAGCTATTTTTACAGGCTGCAAAACAGGTTTCCCAAAAAAAACAATTGCTTTACAGCTTGTAATTCTAACTTCACAAGGCCTGTAAAACCAATGGGAAGTCCTCCACTGCTGTTGGTGACAAATTCTCATTTTGGTCAGGTTTCTTCCCACTCATCTTGTTGTATGTAGTGATTTGAAACCATTGTCTCCAACTCTCTTGATAAACCATAAACCATTGTCTCCAACTCTCTTGATAAACCATAAACCATTGTCTCCAACTCTCTTGATAAACCATATTGAAGGATCATACCAGCATTCAAGGCTATGTTCTTTCCAATTTTACTCATCAACAACAGTGTCAAAGATGAAACCAGTGATGCAGCTAAATTGACTAATCACACAATCAAGAGTTAATCTAAGTTATGGCTTCATCATTGTTTGGTTTGTGGAATCAAGGAAAGAAACTTCAAGACCAGGTTTTGTAGAAATGGAAAACTGGGGTCTTGAGTACATTGGTCATTGCCTCAATGAGGGATGGCATGAACATTCACTTCCAACAGTCAAATCAGATCAGATGATTAACAACTTGTATCCCATTTTCAAGAGTCAGTCAGTTTTGAAAAAGCAATCTGAATTTGGCTTGGAAATCTGAACCTTATCTCACAATCAGGTAGCTTATTTGACTTGTGAGTTTTTGGAATTTTCAATCTGTTTTCTCTTCTCTGGGCAGTCTTCCGAAATTCCTTCCACCACCTGAACTCCTCCAAATGACGTCAGCAGGGGATTAGTTCGGGTTCAACCTCGCGGGCGGCCCCCCGATGATCGGCTGCATGTGTACCGCACCCGCCGTCATCGGTGTCCCAACGCCCATCTCCATCATCCGCTACACACATATCACCTCCCCCTCATCATCTCTGGAGTCTTTGATCAGTTTATGTGCTAAAAATTAAGATCCGAATCTCAGAATATCATCATCAACATGTCCTTTGCCACAATCCAAGCCTTGGAAGTCGTCATCACGGGTTCAGGTGAATTTAGCGATCATTATTCAGAATCAGTTGGACTTGTTTTATTATTGCTAACCAAGCTTGAATATTTCCTGTATATAGATAACGAGAAGAAGGTTTTACGACTAAACACGCTTCGGGATGAACTGGAAACACTCGAATCTGTCAGTGACTGCCGACCTCCGATTGGGCTTTCATTTTTCTACCCACTGAGCCTCCTAATTGATCAACATATCATCTGATAATATCTGTCTCCTTCCAGCCGCCAGATCTCCAACCTTTGCTCACATCTCTCAAGAGCTCACTGGATTCTTCGAATGGGCATCTATCTTATGCTGCACTTGCTTGTTTACCACCACTTGCCCGCACACTCGCTTCACCGGCTCATCAATCTGCCCTGAAGCAGCTTGTCTTCTCGCTCTATTCTCCGGCCTCAAGTAGTGTGGCTAGCTTTCTCGGAGATGCCAAACAGCGAACCCGGGAGACAGCACGAGCTGCTCTTTTCGGCGCCGCCTCAGCCGCCTGTGAAGCCCATGTGATCTCCCAAACTTCTCCCCGGACGGATGATGTCTTGCAAGAGATTGAACGTATCGTGAAAGAGCAAGGGTTTGCCAGTAAGATTGCTCGGGCCCGGGTACAGGTCAGCACTGATATTCTTAATCATTTCCTCAGCTGTGTATTGATTTCCAGTCAACATTCTTCCTCAAAGACTCTCTATTATCTTTCCGAGATCCGCTCCCGGTATCCGGCGTTGATTCCATTCAAGACCTATTTACCTTCTCTGGTTTCACTGCTCGAGGACTCCGATGTTTCTGTTCGAACTGCTGCATCAGAGTGCGTTACTACTGTGTTTTCTGACCCATCATTGCCAGCATCTGCTCGAGGGGATCTCAAAAATGAGCTGGCAAAGCAAGGGACACGGCGTTCAACGGTCGACAGTATCCTAGCGAAAGTCTTCACCACCTCAAACCCGCCTGGCAATAACACAACTGCCGTTGGATCTGGTGCGGACGATCCACCCTTGACACAGACCGATAACACTGTGCGCGATCAGGCGGTCGATTCCAGTAGCAACCCTTTAGCCAACTCGCAAACTGGTCCACCTGGCTCAGAACCGCCACCCCCTTCGGGAATAATTAACCCAGTTTTTGTATCTGGTCCCCGTGAATTGGAATCCATCTTTGCGAAAATGTTGTCCCCATGGGAAGGCAAAGAGACTGAGCACAACTGGCAAGCACGAGAAGCTAATATGAACACACTTCGTGGTATGATTAAAACTAATGTCCACATGCAGTACACTGCCGACTTCATCGCTGGTCTCAAGTCGATTTCTGAGGGATTATTGAAATCATTGGCCTCTCTACGAACAACCATGGCTGTTGGTGCTTGTAATGCATTCGTTGAACTCAGTGTACTCGGCCCTGCACTCGATCCATTGGTTGATATAATCTTGCCTCCACTGCTTCGTATGGCAGCCCAGACGAAGAAAATCGTCTTTCAAGCCTCGCAGGCTGCAGTAACAGCCCTCATCAAGTCAACATATCATCCTCGTGTCCTGCAATATCTTTCAGCGTGTGTCAATGAAAAAACTGTCCAAGCACGCATTGCAGGTGTTTCTCGAATCAAAGAGTTTCTGGATTTTCATGGTCAACGTTCCAAATCTCAGATTGAATCAGGGGGTGGACTTGGAATCATTGAAAAAGTGCTACGACGATCGTTGGCTGATGCTAGTCCTGTAGTTCGAGAAACTGCCCGTGAAGTGTTTTGGAATTGCTCTGCAATATGGCCTCAAATGACTAGTCCCCTAATCGAATCACTCGATGGTCCAACCCGCAAACAACTAGAGAAGGCTAGTACGGGTCGCCGAGCCGTTTCAAGCGCGTCGTTTAAGACTGAAAAGGAACCTTCCAGTCGAATCTCAGTGAGGTCACTGATCAAATCCACACGTTCTGCCCACCGTGCGGCTGAAACCCCGAACGTGGCAAAAGCGGCACCCATCTCCCCCAGACAAGTCGCCAATAGCCTCGGTGGAATCGAATCTCCTGCGATCAAGTCAACAGGTGCAACCTCTGGCTCTGGTCTGGCACATCGAACCCCTGAACGCCAGAATACTGCACAATCGCCGCGCAGAAACGATCTTAAGCGTAGTGTGTCTGCGCGTGATCCGCCCACTGGCGATCGGTCCAAATCGTCAATTTCATCCCCACCACTCGGACTGGCTATCAGTAAAACGATGAGCCCTCACAAAACCAGTCCAGCATCACCGATCTCTCGGATCGCTGTACGATCAGCTAGCACAGGGAAGAATTTTAGTCCCCCCAAGTTCAGTGCCATCTCGTTAGATGATCGCCACCTAGAAACACTCTTGGATGTCACTAATTGTAATCAATCTGAATATTCTAGTCAAAGACTTCAATCGAGGAAGGTTTTGAGCGCGGAAAACATCGTCGAAGATGCGATGAAAGCGCAAGCTGAGCAGGCCGAATCTGCGGCTCATCGACTTCTGGAGCTCACGGAAGATGAAAACGAGCTCCAGCCACTTGTGCCACTTGGCCCGGGTGGTGTTTTACTGCCAGCAACCACTCGCGCTGATCATGTCCGGCTAACTCAACTTGCGCAATCAAACATCCCCAAACAATTTCAGGCCACGACCAACAAAGAAACCATGTGGAAACAATTCGAAGATTCTCCACGCAATCATCTTCATATTGCAGTCGAAGAAGTCCCTAAGAAAGAGATCGCGCATCGCGGAAACAAAAATCTTTGGTGGCACCGCCAAGCTGAATGTAAGCCCCAAAGATAAAAATTTCTGTAGATTTTCCACTTAATCTGAAACCAGAAATGAGAACCTGACTATGCCTAAATTCAATTTTAGTGTCGATGTGTGCGGGTCGACAAGATGCATCCCCAAGCGACATCCTCAACTTGATAGCTCAAATTGAGGAACATCCACCAACCTCTCAAGATCGTCAAATATATCTAGATTTGTCGCAAGCGTGCTATGAACATAGATGCTCAATAGGCAAGGTAGATAGCACCGGTACCATAATCAAATCCGAAGAGAAATCCCAGATGGAAAAGAACATGGAGTTCTGGATGGACCAGAATTTGTTTGACAGATTGTTTGAAGCCCTAAAAGAAAAATTAAAACAGGTATGTCGGTTTATCTTATGATCACCCTTATATCCATGAGAGAAAAAGCTCGAAGTAATCTGAGAGTGTGACATGTTTTTTTCTGTTGGTTGCGGTTTAGAATGTTTCTGTAGAAGTTAAAGATGCTCAGTTAGTCCTATTAAGGGCATTAATACTATATGAGACCATGTTGATGGGTGGCAAGGAGACCGAACTGTGTGAATTGTTATTATTGGTGGCTTCGGAAGGTGTATCGAACGTAAGCCAAAGTTTTTGTAGGGAATCAAACAGGGGAAGATTCTAACAAGAAACGAAAGCGGTTTAGTTAATCATTGCAGTAGAAGCCTTAGGAAGCTTATGGGCCGAAACAAGTGATCCAGTTTATGGCTTAAGTTGTTTGCGAAGTTGTGTTGAAATCGTCAGCCAACGGAATTTGATCAACCAAGCTTCCTCCAACCAACCAGGATCGGAGAATTGGATGGGATTGGCAATGAGCTGTCTCGGTGGATTTTTCTGCAGACTGCCGGCTGAAATTGTCGAAGAGGAGTTACCCAAAGCTAGCGAACTGATCAAACGAGTTGAGTACTTCACTTAATTTTTTCGATATCTAAACAATCCATTCAATCAAAATCGAGACATGTGTAGCCAAGGTCCGATTCATAACTTTTGCGGAAGCTACAGGATATTAACAAACACTTTTATGTGCATTGCAGGCTCTCAATCATCGTCAAGCCGAGATTCGCATGTCAGCCGTCATGAGCTTGGTTTCAGCAAATCAAGTAATCAAGAACGATCGGGAAATCTTCCAAGTTTTGGGCAACCTGACCACTGCTCAAGAAGCCCTGATTACCTATTATTTAACTCCAAGTCAATAGCCCCATAGTCGGTCATCACCTTTTTTCGATTTTACTTGTTATCATCTTTTCTAGACAGTCTTTCTACGCATTATTCTGTCCTTCTCATGTCAGCTTCAAAGGCATCCGAAACTCTCAGCAAATCCAAGCATTATATTCCAATGCTTGTTCCTCATCGGTCTCGTATAAGAACACCTATTTGTGCTTTCTGTATCAAACTATCTTCTTTCTTTACTTCTTCCCTCTATTTTTCTGTCCTTTGTTCCTTTCTTTTTTTTCTTTTTTTTTTTTTTCTTTTTTTTTCTTTCTTTTTCTTTCCTTCGCCCCCCTCCTTTTTTTTTCTTTCCTTCATCCCTTTCTTCTTTATTTTCTTTCTTTCGTCCCTTTCTTTTTTTTTCTTTGTTTCGGTACTTCTTTTGTCTTTCCTTTTGTTGTTGCGGGAGGGGGTAATTTTCCTATTTTTTCATTTGAGATGTCCCAAAACACTTCATCCACATATTATTTTGGTGGATCGTTATTGATAGTTTGCTTAGAAAACTATGTACTGTATCCCACTTGTTTTGCTCCTGTCATCCCGTCCTTGCACTATGCCTGCCCTTTCATTCTTTGTAGTATGGACGCAAATACACCCACACACTCTCATATATACAATATAGATATTGATCTAATCTAAAGCAGCTTTTGTTGGCAATGCACACTCCTTTTTGACAACAATCAACTGAATCACAGTCTATGACAATTATGCCAAGTGGACCGTCCTTAAAAATACGGAATGGAGAATTTATCCCACATGGAAATGACCACCTGAGTGTTTTGTCTGGCCGGACTTGATACTTCATTCCCGTATTTTTCATATAAGACTCTTTGTTGCCTTGAGACATGAAATGCGTATCAACCTTGGCCTCTACTTGGACGTGCACACTATCCGTCCATTCAGGACAGCGCTAAGACGCTGGGAGCATGAGCGCCTCTAACTAGCGCACGCGGAGCGGCCTCAAATCTCTCATTTGCTTACATTTTCGGCACCCTGTGTCAGGTGCCTAGGCAATCCCGGAGACCTCCCAAAAGGGGGAACTCCCAAGACTGCCGTGTGAGGGTCAGGGGGGGAGAAGGCCCGACGTCCCGCAGACGTAAGTCTACGAGCCGTTTCTCACCGGTCTTGCCGGCACCCTCCTGAACTCAGGCCATCCGGAAGGAAGGCATGGAGAGGAGGGTACTGACAGTTGTACGGGAGGGGAGGCCGTTCTCCCCTGAGCAAACAAGACACCCCCGTAGGGGTGTGGGCAACCGCCAGACCTGTATCTACTAGCCGGGTGGCTAGGAGCCCAGCGGTGCCTCGCTCTTCTGAACACACAAGTCAAATGAGGGGGGATTTATTGCGCAGAAATCTAGTCCAGCCTTCCGGTTAGGAGGACCAGGCTTCCTCTAACTGTCTTAATAGACCGTTAGTGGACTCGATATCCTCTTCAGTAAATTCTCTCAGATACAATTTATAGCTATCAGAGGCCCATCTCCCTCTTAGGCAAATCTGAGTGATGGGAATCCCGAGCGCCTTCAGGAGGGAAGCTCCTCCTACCCGGAAGGAGTGCCCTGAGACCCCAGCGTAACCGCACGCTTTCCAGATTTTATCTAGTGCTCGGGTAGCCATGGGCTTGGTGATGTGGAACCGCCCGCCCTCGGGATCGGTGAAGCTAAAGAGCGAGTTGTGACCGTCGCCTTCTCGTACCCCGTTCTTCTTGGCGTCTGCCAGTCTCCTGTTGTAACGGGGCCCTTACAGAGTCCTATGAGTTAAGCTTCGAATCTAAGTGTTTGGAACACTTAAGTTTTGTAGATAGTGAATAATGTTTGTTTGTATCAAAAGTTGTGTATCGTATTCGATGAGGAATGATACCTCATGGGAAAGCTGCTTTTATGTCTATGTACAAAAGGACTGTGCGTACATAGAATAGCAGAAACAATCGAGAATACCGTGAAATACAATAATGATGTCATGAACATACACTTTGGGAATTAATACCATTGATTTAGTCTTAGTACATATTATGAATATACAGAGAGAGATATTTGAGGGACTGTAGACGTAAGTCCTGTTATCTCCTGCCACGGAGTATAGGCGCACGGCTACAACTACCCCCCTCTCTAGAGACGGACCGGCCTCGGGACGCGGAATCGGGAAGAAAATCAAGCCGACGACACCGGAACCGGTACTGTCGCGACAGCTTTTGCTGCTTTGGCAAGATTTCTCGAAACTTTGACCTCACGTCGATTGTCGTCCAACTGAACCGCTGGCGGAACCGACCACATCTCATTTGTCACGACGGATCGAAGGGAAACCGGCCGAAGGTGATTTCCATTGACCGGACGTGAGTACTCCTCCCCATTATGATCCATCAAGATGTAAACATTATTTTCCCTAACCGCCGCAATTTCAAAGGGACCGAACCACCGAGGCTGGCCTTTGGTGTGCGACTCGTTTCGCAGTTTGACCGAGTCACCAACGCGATAAGTGATCAGCGCCGAAGGATTTAGTTTGTTATCGAACCGCTTCTTATTGGCCGACGCTCTCTTATCCACACCCTCCAAAGCCCTCACTCTTTTCGCATTCAATTCATCAATCCGATTCTTCAGTTGTTGTTCGGAAGCCGACACCTCGGACTTCGCGACCATCTTGATATTGTCGGAAGGAAGACGAGGTCGCACCCCGTAGAGAAGTTCAAACGGCGAAAATTTGCTATTATCGTTCAGATGAATCCGTGTTGAATATAAAGCCGCCGGAAAGTAGTCCTCCCAACGCGCCGGATCTCCAGAGACGTTCAACCGAAACAACGCCGCCTCCAGAATCCCATTATACCGCTCATTCTTCCCATTCGTACGCGGGTGATAACCAGAAGTGTTCAACTTCTTAATATTACCAGCAGACAAGAACTTCAACAACCCGTTGGACAAAAAATTCGACCCGCGATCAGTCAAGAATTCACGTGGTAAACCAAAAGGGGTTATAATTTCACAAAGAATAACATCAGCAATGTTCGCCGAAGTTGCCTCCGTCATCGGAACAGCAACCGGCCAACCAGTGCAATGATCGATCAGCGTAAGAATCCACTTCCAATGGTTCTTCTTGGATTCTGTCATTGAAATAAAATCCGCCGACCATCGTTCAAATGGACCAACCAAAGGTAAGGGAACCTGTTGCCAAGTTTCCTGTTTCTCATGAGGACGTTCATGAATTTGACACTGTGCGCATGTTTTAACATAGTCACACACATCCTGGTAACGCGTTGACCACCAACCCCGTCCCCGTAGCAAACTCAATGTCGCATCACGACCTCTATGGCCGGCTTCATCATGGACTTGCCTCAAAAGGCGCCAACGATACGGAGACTCAATAAAAGGGGAATACTCCTCGTGACCCGGCCTACCTCGCCAAACCAAGGTTTCCTCTTCCTCGTCTACGTCAAAAAACTCGGCCAAGTCCACAGCTTTTCTCAGCAATTCTGGAGCAACGGTAGCAGGGACACGACGACCCAACTTCAAATAAGGCACAATCAAAGGCCAATCCGACGCTCGTAACTCATCATTAACAAACTTAATCATCAAGAGATCACTACGACGCGACAACGCATCAGGAACAACATTTTCAGATCCCTTTTTATACCGAATTTCGACATCCATTTCAGCAAATTCTTCTACCCACCGAGCCAACCTCCTAGAAGGCATCCTCTGAGTCGAAAAATATTGCAGTGATGCATGATCCGTATAACACACAGTAGTGGAGACCGCACCATCAAGGTAGACATACCATTTACGGTAAGCATGAATGATTGCATACAATTCACGCTCTTGCGCAGGATAGTTACACTGTGAACTATTCAATTTCTTTGATTCATAGGCAACAGGATGCCAACGAAGATCGTCATCTTCTTGAAGCAACACAGCTCCCACCGCAAAATCCGACGCATCGGTCTCCATAACAAAAGGTTTCAACACATCCGGCATCAAAAGCACAGGAGCCGAAACCATCGCAGCTTTCAAAGCCACGAAGGCCAGTTCATGAACAGGAAGCCAAACAACCTTTTGGCGCTTTGTAACATTCCCGCCGGTCAAAACATGAAGAGGGCAAGCTATCTTCGCAAAATTTGCGATATACCGCCGGTAGTATCCGCACAATCCAAGGAACGAGCGAACTTCATAAACATTTTGAGGACGCGGCCACTCATTAATAGCCACCAATTTATCCTCCATCGGTTTGACGTGATTATGGGAAACAACATGCCCGACATACTGAATCTCAGCCTGACCAAACGAACACTTCTTTCCACTGCACTTCAGTTCCTCCACCGACAAAACCTTAAAAACCTTTTCGACATGCAATAAATGCTCCGATTCAGTCTTCGAGTAGATAAGAATATCATCAAGATATACCTGCACAAAATCATTGATGAACTCCTTCAAAATATGTGTCATCATTCTCTGAAACGTACTAGGCGCATTTACCAATCCGAACGGCATCACTAACCATTCATAATGGCCATACTTAGAACCAAAAGCAGTTTTAGGCACATCAGCCGGCGAAATCCGCATCTGATGGAATCCTTGTTGCAAGTCAATTTTCGTAAAAAACTTAGCTCCCACCAGAGCATCAAAACACTCTTGGATCAACGGCAAAGGATGGCGGTCTTTCTTGGTAACGGCATTCAGAGCACGATAATCAACACAGAAACGCAAAGTTCCACTAGAATTCTTAGCGAATAAAATTGGTGAAGACCAGGAAGAAACGGAAGGTTGTATAAAACCATTACTCTGCAACTTCCCCAACCGATATTTCAGTTCACCCAGTAAAGCCGGTGACAATTGACGCACCGGCTGGCTAACAGGTATCGCATCTCCAGTATCAACCAAATGCTCGACAACTCGCTTCCTATCGGAAGCACGCTCAATAGGCTCAAACAACGCCCCAAATTTTTCTACCAAACGACGCAAACTCACACTGAACGCCCCATCAGGGGGAAAAACAGTCGGCAAAGAAGAAACCACGTCCTCCCGCGGGCCAGCTGGATCCACCGGAACGGGTAAGCAAACAAAAAGCACATTCTTTCGGTTCTTCATTACCGATTTAAACTGATGTCTAGAACAATGCCCATCAACAACATCAGTCAACACATTTAATTCATGCGGCCGAAAATCACGGACAACCGGAACATCAGGCTTGAACATCACAATAGAACCCATCGGTCCTTTAAGCGACCATTCATTCCTCTCCCAATCCGTGCTCTCGACATACTGACCAATCCAATCACGACCCAGAATAACATCATAGGAAGACAACGGAACAGTCCTACAAGAAATATCGAAATGGTGGCCTGCTAACAAAACCTCAACTAAGGAAAGCTCAGAACGACGCACCTCCTGGCCGAATGCACCCAAAACTCCAAAACTCTCACAGGGAACTCGCGACAACCCCCTTTCAATTGCAAAAGCCTCAGAGACATAAGAACAACTTGCACCGGTGTCTATCAAAAAACGGGCATCCCGGCCATTCAAATCAAGGAAAAAATCGACAACAACGGACTCATCCTCGGCACACAAAGCTAACAAAGACTCAGGTTTGCAACTCCCTAGTCCATCCAAGAGCGAGTCCAAAACCCCCTCCGAGCTCACTTTTAAACGGTTAACTCTCAAAACATTTTCCGACTCCCCTAAAAGGAGGGAGTTCGTACTCTCAACAGGCGCCGGGACGATCAACCCCGGCACTACACTCTCACAATGCTCAACAGATGCAGGAACGACAGACTGTTCATTATCACTAGCAGCAGAAATGACAGAAATACAGGCATCCACACACGTCGACGGGCGAGACAATGCCACGTCGACTACACATTTAAAGACTTCGACTTTCCGGCACCAGCAGAAGCCTCATATTGACGTTGACGATCGGACTTCGGATTGGGACATTTAGCGCTAATATGTCCAGGAGTGCCACAGTTGTAACAATTCCTAACCGCTCCATCCGACCTTTTCTTCCCAGACGAACCCTCACCGGAGTCGACCTCCTTTTTCGAGCCCGATGGACCAGGAAAACCTCCACGAGAACCAGAGAAACGCCTAGCAGCCTCCGCAGCTGCCATCTTGACACGACGATCCATATCCACTGTGAAACTAGCGATCCGAGGGAAATCCATCGGAGTTTGACGATTAGCCTCAGCCGCCACCTGGTCCTCGATCCTCAAACGCAAGTCCGGAACCAAACGCTCCACAAAACCCGTACAAGGGTCATGAGAATAATTATAAATTTTGGCCTTGACCTGCCAGTCACGAAATCGATTATAGAAGGTCTGCGCAGTTTCGTTGGGTTTCATGCGTAATGCCCCATATTCAGCAGCAACAGCGGCTTTGCTAGACATTTCAGGGTTGAGCTCAATCAACCAATCCGCAAAATCATCCCAGCTACGAGGATCGCGCCCCGCACGCATCACGTCATTATAGTCCTCTCGAGCTTTACCGACGAGGCAACGAATGCCAACCTGATGCCAGATACCCGGGTGAACAAAACGCACCGCCAACTCAATCGACAGTTTGTTCAACCAGTTGCGGACCTCTTTGCTGTCGGTTCCACTAAAGTTCGGGACGATCTCTCGATTCCAACCCTTCATAGCCTTAGTGACATCGGTCACATAGACCTGAGCAGGCAACGGGCCGTAATCGGCAACATTGGGGCGAGCAAAATCCGCCGGAGGAGCCACAGAGGCATTCCTCCCCCCCGTAGGAGGGCCGCCATCAGTTGGCGCAAAAACAGAGACCCGAGGGTACGTATCACCACGATACCTGTCATGACGAGGGGGGTGCTTGACAGTATCATTACTGTCCACATCCATTCCATCGGAATGAATAACAGCTGGTTCTTCGGACGGAGCCACAGGACGACCAGTCACAGCAGAGGACGGTACAGCGACCTTTGAGTCCTCGGGGGGATAATTCTCGACGAAGTGACCCTCTCCATGTTGGGGTACATCTTCATATTCCTCCTGGCCCGACTCCTCGTCCTCGCCTTCGCTCCAAAAATCAGGATTTTCCTTGACCCACGCCACTTGCTGAGGGGTAAGGTTCTCTATCTCCTCAGTAGAGTACGACGAACCGTTCATCGGACGAGGAGCCCCTGCGATAACACGAGACTTCCGACGGACGGTAACGTTTGCGGTAGACTTAGGTGGCATGCTACCCAAATGACCGAAAAAACACAAAACAACAAAGTCATAACAAAAAAAACACCATCAAACAGATCAGCTTAACTCGCCCCAGAAGTCGACTGACATCAAATCAGACACATAGATCAATAGAAAAATTTCGACGGCAGAAACCCACGTACGTCGATATAACCAATCAGAAGGCAGAACAAAAGGAGTCCCAAAAAGACAACCAATGACCGCGCAATATAATCTACAATCCCCCGACAAAAGGAATCAAAGCAAAAAGTCAATCAAAACCTTCCAATCAATCGTCACAAAGGCACAAGGGTAATGTCGCAAAAAAAATTTCTACTTTTTAGCTCTCGCTACCACTGTAACGGGGCCCTTACAGAGTCCTATGAGTTAAGCTTCGAATCTAAGTGTTTGGAACACTTAAGTTTTGTAGATAGTGAATAATGTTTGTTTGTATCAAAAGTTGTGTATCGTATTCGATGAGGAATGATACCTCATGGGAAAGCTGCTTTTATGTCTATGTACAAAAGGACTGTGCGTACATAGAATAGCAGAAACAATCGAGAATACCGTGAAATACAATAATGACGTCATGAACATACACTTTGGGAATTAATACCATTGATTTAGTCTTAGTACATATTATGAATATACAGAGAGAGATATTTGAGGGACTGTAGACGTAAGTCCTGTTATCTCCTGCCACGGAGTATAGGCGCACGGCTACACTGTTGACCGCGAGGATGGGGCAGAGCATGTGAGGTAGCTTGTCTAGGCGAATCAATTGTTCTTCACCTGGGCTAGCGGTCTTGGCTCCACGAATGACTAGGAAGATCGTATCCTCTCCCTTCCCTGGTTCGTTTCTGATGTCCGAGGTTAGGAGGGAAGCTCGGGCGTGGAGGGGACCACTCTCGTCGTTGTATGTGAGTTCGACCAACCTGGCCATCCCCCAGAAGGCTACCACGCAGAGGTCGAAGAGTGCCCTCTGGAATGGCCCACTGGTCGCCAAGATTTCTGCGAGCTTGATCATTATCTCGATGGTTACTGCCTTCTTCTGTGGCCTCTTCGGTGCGTCGGCGTCAATATATGATGAAGCTTTGAGCATAGTCGCTACCTTCAGCTTTGTCTGTTCAGGAAAGGTAGCGTTATGGTAAGTGTGCCACATCTGAATGCCGGCTAGGTATTTCCTGAGGGTGTTGGCCGCGACGTCGTGGGACGAGGTGCATTCCGCTGTCCTACCTGCCCAGCAACAAAAGTCGTAGATGTCCGACGGGAGGAGGGGCAGTTTGTAAGGGAGCCTACCCGTCTCTTTCGCAAAGGTTTGGTACTTCTTTACTGCCACATTGTAGCTCAGTAGAGTGTTCCACCGGTAGCCAAGTAAGTAATGGCAGTCTTGTGTTGAGGGTTCCTTGGGAAGCGACCCGTTGCTTGTGATGCAGCGGATTTTCGTGACATCCATCATGGTTCACAGATGCAATTAGGGATATATTGCTTGGAAGAGTGGAGAGAAAGACACGCGGGCAGGCAGAGAGGAGGGGGGCGATAAGATGTGCGAGCGAGTGGACAGGGTGAGGAAGGAGGAGGTGGTGGGATAGATTACAGACTAGTATACAAATTTCAGCTGGTGGATTGGAATAGTCTTGATTCTAAGTCTAGGGGAACCTGTACCGGTAGTTGAAACTTGATGTCCTTACCGGATCTGTCACCACGGGATAGCGCATCGGCCTTGTTGTCCTCGGACGTGACCCTCCTGGCGACTATGTCAATCTCCATTTCTACTAGTAATTTCTGTATGATCTTCCATTCTTCGTTTACGGCTTGGTTCTTGGACTTCCTTTTCCTTATGGCTCTTTCGGTGGTCGTGTTGTCGGTCCACACTATGAGGGTTTTCCCTCGCCTAATCTTAAGGTGTTCAAGGGCGATCAGTCCCAGCCTTATGGCTATTGTCTCTAGCCAGGCAATGTCCCGTTTGGGTTCTGGTCCAAACCTCCACTGGTCGGTTAGTTGAAATTGGGCCCAGTATCGTCCTATGGTTATTCCGATACCATAGCTTGTCGATGCGTCCCCCATCCACCCGATTTCGGTTGGGTCTGGGTTTCGGATCATCCTTGTTTCCTTGAAACAAAGCAACGTCGTCAACCATTCTTCTAGGTCTCGCCTAGCGTCTATTGGTACCGGTAGGTCCGTGGTCCGGAACACCCACGAGTTCATCCAACGGTAAAGACTGTTGAGATAACACCTCAGTTGGGGGAGGAGGTATGAAACGTGGTTCAGCCGCCCCGCCATCACTTCTACCTGTTTGAAGGAGAACTCAGCGTTAGGGATTAGAAATTCTTTTATCTGTTGAACCCGTTGGAATTTCTTGTCATCTGGTAGCCGTACTGTCTTCTTTATAGCGTTCCAAATGAAGCCAATATATTTTTGCTCTTCTTTGAAAGGGGAATATTTAGTGGAATTGGTCTTCACCCCTAGTGTTTCAGATCTTGCGACTATATGTTCCATGTCCACTAGGGAGTCCCGGTGTTTGACAAACAAGTTATCATCGACCCAGCGGAATACCGTGACTAGGTCGAATTCGTGTAACATCAGTTCTTTCCAGGCGTCCGCTGGCCTGCCAAAGGAGCCGCAGCCGGCTACTCCGCCGAATGCAATTCGTGTGTCTATCAGGATGCCGCCGTTGAAATCTCTAACCATCAAGTATGCCCATTGAGCTTTGGCGGTGGGGATTTGACGGTAGGCCTTTTCCCAATTTAATAGGGCTAGTAGGATTGGTTGGGTTTGGCTGCGAAGAAACTTAGATACACGCTTGAAATTGTCCCACGTAGTCGTGTAGTCCAGCTTGTCCACGAAGGAGTTGACTGAAGGGCAGTGGGGGTCGTTGTGCGGGAAGGAGAGGTCGTTGATGGGTCGGACAGACCCATCCCCGTTGACTACCGCACCCAGAGGGTTCGAACGGAAGAATTCGTACTTCTTCATAAGTTGTTCGTGAGTATAAGGGCCGTACATCCTACCGGCTTCCACTTCCTTTGCTATGGAGGATTCTATCTTTTCTTGGGCTAGCAATGCTGATTGGTGGTTTGGAGGGGTGTAGTAGGGGATCGAGGGACCTAAGTTATGGTTGGGGATACCTTGGTCGAAGCCGTGTCTGAAGCCGTGTAACACGTCGGTGTATTTGTCCCGCAATCCGGCCCTGTTCAGGGCCTTCTCCCACTGCTCTATGTCCATCTCACATTGGATCTCTTCCGGCCAAATGACAGCTTCTTGCTTAGCTGGGATGCTCTGCCTTTCTTGACTCTCAGGTAGCGGGTATTCAAAGCTACTGCTTGTGTCACTGTGCAGATAGGCGTAGCTCAAAGTTAGGAAAACTGCACTCATTCTTTCATTACGTGACGAGGTCCAATATCTATGTAAATTCATGTATCTATATATATACAATTGTCTTTTTTTTTTTTTTTAAGTAGGAGGTGAGATTAATGTGAGATTAGGGGGAGGGATTGGGATTTGGGGTATTCCGAGGTAGCAATCTAAATCGGGATGAGAAGGTGTGAGGATATGATGATGAGATGATGAAAAGAACAGAGGTAGAATTCACTGTTGTGAAAGGATAGCGGAGGAGTACTTACCAGTCGCGTTTCCGGAACCCTCCTCCATAGTTGGGGTTGAAGTTCTTGCCTTTGTAACCAGAACCCTTCTGGGCTTTGCCGCTGGTCTGGTCTGCTTGGCTTGGACGTTGTGGGAGGGGAATCGCGGGTAGGTTGTGTTGCGTCGCCGCCGGGAGGTGGCTGGGAGGTTGTTGGGGAGCTTTCGGTGCTGAAGGATTTGGCGTCGAGTTTTTGGCGATTTTTTGGCCGGTGTGCGGGTCGTAGCCATATCTTACTCCGCCGATGGCGTAAGGGTTGTCGGTGACACCGAGCTCGTTCAGGTTTCTTGATTCGGAGTGTGCGTCGTCCGCTGTCTCTGGTTTGAAAACCGATATGTTTGAAAACGATTCTTCCCCGTCTTCGCCGACTACCCGAAATGCAAAGGCATTATTCCGGATTCTGATGTCATACCGGAGTGCGACCATAAACCCATGTTTCCGCTGGAGTCTGCCGCAGTGCTCTTTATGGAGTATTATCCACTCCGCTGTGGTAATTAAATATGTAAAAAATTCAAAGTTTTTTTTCTTTATATACATTTTTCTCATAAATTCACTCAGAAATCAACCAATACAACTTCAGAAATGGATTCTACGGACAATTTCAGCCTAGGTCACCACTGGACGCATCATTGGAACCCTCATGGATTCAAAGTTACACCCCTACGGACGCATATCACAAGCAAATACCCAGTCAAGCACATGTCACAACCCTCAAATCACCTCTCAGTTATGCTTATACACAGCTCACGGTATACACATAATTTCCCACACCTCTTTATCTCCACCGCATAAATTAGTTTGGTTCTATTTGTCACCTCATGCACTGCCTTTGCAGGCTGCGCAGTCTTGATTGAATTACTTTTCCCACAGTTTATTAATTTTCTCACCTCATTTATGACAACAGCTGGATTTTTCCCACACTTTATTGCCTCATTTGACACTTTCTCACATTATTTACGCACTGCAGCACAGCCTTTGACATTAATTGTACACAGCCTCACTGGTTAATTTCCCTCACTTGCATGATCAGACTAGCTAAATTCACTCATTTGTACCTACAGGCCAGCTAAAATCACTCTTTCTTGTCTGCCACATGAAGCTAAATTCCCTCACTTTTGTCTATAAAAGGAG